GAACATTGGACCAGGAGTGATTTTCATCTTAGTGGGAAGGGAGATAGACTCCGATATTTATAACAGAGGAGAGGATACTTAGGCCACCATAACCACATTGGTCAATAAAGATCTGACTACACATCCAATTTTCCAGCTCTTGGTCCATAGCCCTGGAGGTCATGGCTACACAAGTAAATATCTAAACATTGCTTAAATGTTGAGAGAGTTTGTGACTCAACCACACTTTTAGACGGTCAGTTTCAGGCTCCCATTATTCACTGGGTGGAAAAAATCCTAAATCAATTCTTCTCTTAGCCTGCAGATTATTGAGCCTCTAATAAGGGAAAAAGTGCCTTCACTAAAACTTGTGTTTTACAGTATGTTTTCCTGCCTTGAGTGCTACAACTCTCAAGAAACAACACAGAACACCTTCATTTTTTAAAAAAAAATGTTCTTTTCTCAAATCTGAAATTTAATTGCAACAATATCCTTTCAGTCCTTCACACAAGACACACACACACACACAAGAACATGCCTTAGATGCTGAAAGGGTCCAAAGAGTCTCTATTACACTGGTTTTGCAAAACTTGGAAAAAATTGCAGGCCTGAAGACATATTACGGGTTCACAAATGAAAATGCAGTTGAAAGTTTCTGACACGAAATTCACCAAAGTTTACTCCTTCCAACAACGGGTTCCTGTCGTTGCCTCAATCAAAATTGTGGTGAAATACTCCTATTGTGAAGATAAAGCTCAATTCCGCAAGGCTTTAACTAAAAGGATATCTACTTCTCTGGCTATTTGGATTTTAGACACAGTTCTCTCCTTTGCTGGGTAGGATCTCTTCCCTCTGCGACCTCTTTGCCTCCCACTAGACTGACATTCTGAACGCTCACAAAGTGCAAGCTAATGAAGGTCCTGAGCTGGTTTTTGTCAGGTGACCAAAATACCAGTTTTCCAACTCTTCACACAAACAGTTCATGACACACTGATGCACAATAGTATAAACCTCAGTCATTTATATCTCCTTGCATGACGATGCTTTTGTCTTCTCAACTATTTTGTTGAGTTCCAAAACAAACACAGACAATTCTGGAGAAACTCAGCAGGTCTAGCAGACACTTTTTCAGAAATGAAAGGGATCGGAAAATTGCCTTTTTTCCAATTGTCTCTACCATTTCAATAAAACAGTTTGCTCTCATGCTAACATTTCTGTCCTGAATCTGCTGTAATATTCTAATGATGAGAAACATATTTTCCTCTTAGGCATGTTACGTCCTTTAGAAGTTCATAATAAATTCCACATCTTCACAGCCTGACTGCATGATATCTGTCTACCATTTTCAATAGATTCACCCACACAACTCTCCCCTTCCCCACCCCCCCTCACCATCGTCTTGTATTGTTTGTATCTTGTTTACTTTGCTTTTGGTCGAGTGGACCCATTTTCTCCTTTTCACATCTTAATTCACATCTATTTGATATCTATTTCTTTTCCACCACTATTAAGAAACCCTTTGCCTTTTACAATGAGCCTTCACACCATCATTTCCCTTGCTCCTGCTCTGCCTCTATCAAAGGTATAAACACAAGCATTTTCCAACCCTTTCAAGTTCTGAAGAGAAGTCACACTGGATTCAAAAGATTAACTCTGTTTCCCTCTCCACAGATTCTGCCAGATCAGCTGAGTTTCTCCAGCCCTTTCTGTACTTATTTCAGATTTTCCAGCATCCACAGTATTTTGTTACTCTTTATGGAATTCCAATCTGCAGATACTGCAGAGAGTGTAATTTGTAATTTTGAGACCTGTTGCATTGTAATGTCTCTTCAGTGGAATGTTTCTAAACAGTCATTTATATTTTAAAATCCTGTCCAGATAAGTAGGGCAGATTGACAAAAAAAAACCTGAGTTTTAGGATGCCAGTAACTATTGTTAATGATCATGACTTTCCATGCAGGAATTGATATCAATCCCAGTAAAGCTGGAATTTAAGGTACCTAACTATTGTAGATAGTTTCTCACAGACCCAGATATAAGATGATCCATTTCTCAAGCCCCAGAAATATGTTTATGCATCTATTCAGCATAAAAATTGACCAGTCTTTTCAGCCATGACATGCTGTATTTGTAGCATCAGTCAGCCTCAGGTTTTTGTATCCCATAAATGCATGTTTTACTTATAACTGGTGCAAACAATTAAGCAAACTGTATGGGCTGTGTTGTGAAAATGTACAGGAGTTTAAGGCTCAACTACAAAGAACACACTGAACATGGCTAACAACAAAGTGAAATGAAAGATCCAACAAAATTAATGAAGAATTAAGCTGGTTTCAAGCTAACGGTAGTAACGTTCAAAAACTCATTAAATAACTGTTTAGTAGTCAGGGAATTTGGTGTTGTTAATAAAACTGGTGTGAGGTGGAAGAGGGAATCTATACTGAAGAATGTAGGCAAGATTTAAATGCACCAGGAGAACAGGAACAAGCCACTTGCCTGATCTTGAAACACATTTATCAGAATGAGTCCTCAATAATTCAGAAGAAGTAAAATGTGTCTATAGATAATTAGTAGGCCAAATCAAACCCTGAGCTCAGCAAAACGTTTAGAGCAATGCCTAGTTGCAACACGAGTTGAACCATTAGCTCGTTGAAAAAAAATGTCTTGTATTGTGGCAGAGACCAAGATCGCTAAGAGACTACCAAAAGACTTTGATGATAAAATTACCAAAAGACTTTGATGATAAAATTACCAATATCCAGCGAACCTTCATCAGACAGTGGAAAAAAATTTCAAGTACCCATTATACTGGACGTAATACCTGTGAGTTCTGACATACTCAAGAACCAAAAGGTGGAATAGGAGCTTTGGAAATGTTTCTTGAGAAAACTACAGGACATGAGGAGACACAATTCATAATGATATTAGCCTGCACTGGACAATGGACAAAAATTAAAGCCTCTGGTAATTTTTAAGTGTACATCCATTCTGGAAATCAAGTTCCCTGCGGGAATTCCTGTGCATGTCCATGACAGTGGTTCAATGGATATGAATGAAGTGAATTTGTGGATCGATAATGTGTAGAATTGATATTCCAGTGACCTACACAAAATGTGCAGTTTATTAAAATAGGATATGCTTGGATCTCATATAACCAAGGAGATTAAGAGGCACCTGCAGGGAAATAACACACAAATTGCAAGTATATCAGGAGTTTAAATCATTAGTTTAAATCCTTAGTTTAAACTCTTGGATGTGTCTCTCAATAAGCCACTCATATCATGAACCGACTAGGTAGATAATTGCTGTACAAAAAACCTTCACAGAAGAGTGCAAATATGCATTCTGCCCCATTTGATGTTTTATGCAGCTTTGTCATCAAACTGCATGATGGCATTAATACACAAACAATCAGATTGTTCAAAAATGCACAACATCCAATTCAATATATGCAGCTGAACATGATTTGTTGTGAGGGTGATGAGTATGAAACCAAAACTGGCTACATCTGATCTAGTGTAGGATCCTTACTGTGATGCCAGAATGAGGTGACACAAGAATGAATGTGATGAACTGTATGCCAGTTGTCAAAGTCAATAAAATTGACAGTTGTAAAACTCTTTGTGGTTAAAGGCATCTTAATAGTAATAGCTCGTTCAGTAAATTGGTTTGATTTAATATGAATTATTGTCTTTTTTTCCACATTTCAACATGGTGACTGCCCATACCCTTGCTAATGGTTCACATTTCATATTCAGCAACTAAGTTGACTTCTGTTTTAGGAAGAGTTTTACAAGTTTCACAAGGTCGACTTATACTATGCAACCTGTTTCTCAACATGGAGAACAAGTGAGCAAAAGGCAGAAAGTGAATGAGACTAAATTAGGTCAGATCATGCTTCAATAACTGAGCTAATTCCAAAGTAGTATTGATGAGATCTGGAATTAGTTAACTGGCAATCTCTTTGGGCACAATGTGGCAGAGAAGGAACCAGAAATAGAATCAAAATGGAAATAACTAGCCAGAAGTTATTAATGACACAATCTCTTGGTGTAATGCATGTTTCCTGGTGACATCAACAACATGCTGCAGCAACAATGAGTCATTCCCAATTTGTTTTCATTATATTGCTATGTAATGACCTAAAGATATCAATGACATTACAGTCTTGTTCAGATTATCACAACAATAGACCTATTCTTCATTGGAACAGAGATTAAACAGTAAATCGTGAGTCTGTATGCAGAAGTGTTTGTATTTTTGCTAATTACAGAGTATATTAGAAGACTGGTAATAATTATAAGAATTTAACTGAGAGAAGTCATTGTGAACTGTAGAAGGAAATGTGTCACAAACAATCTGAACCCTGAGTTTACTACTCAGAAATCATTCTATTATTAGTTATTGTTTCTGATCCATGAGGTTATTTCTTGCTTGTACATGCAGGGGAGGAGGCAGAAAAGTGACCTTAAAGATCATTGCATTGGAAACTTGTTTTTGTGACTGTAGTAAGCATTCATGTCTCAAGTTCTATATCTGGTTAAAAAACATGATGTCAATTGGGTTTATTACAGTAATACTGTAAAAATCTTTTTTTTCAGATTATACTACATTTTGTTACTAAAAATATTCAATCACTCTTCTAATGAAAACCTATACATCTGCTGAAAAAAGTCTAAAATGTCTGCGTCGTTAAGTATCAATATGTCAATAAATATCCCTCAGGGACACTGGACTGCTCCTCGAATCCTAAGCTTGTCTGAGCAAGTTACTGAATATTTTCAAAAACTTCATGTCTGTGCACTACAACTGGTATTCAGGACTTTAATGACCAGCAACATTTCCAAGGACAACATGCAGCACTTTGTCTTAAAAAATATTTAATTTCACAAAAAGATGAATCCTTATTTAAAAAATCCTTTCAATTATTGATCCTTAAGAAATGCTTCTAAGGTTTCTAAACCCAAATGCACTCGTGTTCTTATAGCACCACCAAGTGAGTGAAAGTTGAAACTACATACTGGTTTGAGTTCAGTCACATCCCATTGAAGATATTCTGCTACATGCATCATCTGACTGATGATCTGGTCGAGTTCCTGGAGAAGAGGAAAAGAAATAATTCATTGAAAAAGAAATCAATCTAAATTTCTATTTCTAGTATTTCTTTTGAAAATGTTTCAAGAGAAGCTTTTCTTAATATTGAAATATTAGTACATGCAGCTAAAAGTGCTCTTAGGAAATACAAAGAGAACAATCATGGAAAAGTTGACAGTTGTAACAGACTCATGACGCCACACAGATTTCATCACATTTATTACCTTTCCACCTGATTGTCTCATCTGCTATACGCACATGCTCATTATTCAAATAAAGAGTATATTATTTAAGTTCTACAGAAACAAAATACGCTGTCGGTGTCTATAGTTTACCAATAAAACTATAATATCCTGAACTTTCACACTGCTGTTCTTACTTCAACCTGCTCACCTATGGTTCTCATAACATTACCATCAAGCTTAAAACAAACATCAGGAAAAACACCCCAAATTTTACGAGGTTCAGAAAAGGAAGACTGTGTAAGTATGGTGGTGGCAGCCGAAATGATTTACCTCAATGAACTCTGTGATATACTGGACTGGAACTGGACCAGTTCTGAACCAGTGTCACTGATCCTGAAACATTAACTCAGCTTTCTGTCCACACACGCTGCCAGACCTGCTGGGTTTCTCCAGTAATTGCTGTTAATGTTTATCTCTTAAAGGAAACTTCTCAGAGACTGACAGCCACGATAACATCAGATATAACTCCAGCTGTTGTAAGCACAATGCACCTAGAAGTCTCAATGGTAAGATGGTCATGACAGGTGTCTGTTGTTTAAAACCTGTTTTCAGTCACGTGGTTCCACACACCAATCTATTTGCTCAACATCAGTGCTAATCACATCTTTCTTCTCATCCTTGTCCTCTTCCAGTGAGCTTCTCCATTCTGAATTCATATTGCTCATTTTGTCAGGAAATTATGCATGTGGTAGAGAATCCTGGTTTTCCAAATTTTGCCAGGATATTTGGTCAGCTTTCTGCTTATGTGGCTCATGACAATGTAATAGCTACTGGGAGTATCCCTGTGCTGTGCTCCCCAGTAATTCAAGTGTTGATACAGGCCTCATCTGTATTTGTGCTTTGTGGGGTCCTATTCAGGTTTGTGAGCTATGGCTCATAAATGAGGAGTTAAAGTCCAACATTTTTGTAACTTGCAACAAATAACTTCTCAGTACAAACAAGGTAGCTCTGGCCTATTTCAGAACTTCATACATGTATTCTGCAGATACTGGAAATCTGAAATTAAAAAAAAACTGTTGGAAATACACAGTAGGTCTGACATCATCAATGGAGACAAACCTGAAACATTGGGTAGAAAGTTCCCCATTCGGTAAGTTTGGCCCCAAGTTAGGAGAGGGAGGAATTGCTAAGCAAGATGTGTTGGGTCCATTTCCAATGAGCCCCTGCTTACAGGTGATCTTCCTGTAGATGCGCTTGCATCTGCAAAACCTATACATCAAGTACCTGACAGCTACTCACATATAAGCCCCAAAGGTCAAGCCCAGGATTTGTGTCAAGATGGCTTGTCATCATCTGGCCTGAAGTGCCCACCAGGCTTCCAACACAAACCCATCTCATTGGAGCAGCAGCCATCCACTGACCCTCCCAGTATGGTCAATGCAGTATTCAGATCTGGAAGTGATGCTGAACTATACTCTTAGCCTAAGGGCAGGTTTCAACCATTAACTCTCTTTCACTGTCTGCAGATACTGAAAGTCTTTCCAGCATTTTCTGATTGTATTATGTCATTGCTGACTGAGTATTCAGAGAAATACCTGTGTATTAAATAAATAACTGGGATGACAACAACAACGTGTGACTGAGTTATAACTTTGGTTCTTACTTTTTAAACAAGGGCAGGGGATCAGTTAAGTATATCACCGACAAATAGTAGTCAATAAAATTACTACTCAAAGTATTTGTAAACATTAAGTTGGGAAGACTTGTTTGAGAAGATATAGGCAAAATATGGCAGATTAAGTTGCATGGTTTCTAACAGTTCTTTAAAAGATTGGGAAGGTTTCATTGTTAACCAAATGGGTTGATTAGCAGTGGAATGGAAAAACACAACAGTAGCCAATGTGTTACAAGACCAGTTGGTTTATCTTAGTGGTGTTGTTAGACAACTGGAAGAACTCCCTCCTCTCTTAAATTCACCTGACAGACAGACGAAGTTTGTTTTTATTTAATATCTCATCCAAAGAAGCAATTCTTTTGTGCTTCTGTTTTATGTTCATGAAGATTTCAATTCTCTGCAGTCAGTTTAGAAAATCATCAGAACTATTCAACACAAATACTGGATAATAAGTTGCCAACATTTTTTTTTAAATCATTTATTTTTCTGTCACTCCACTATGTCATTGGTTACAACCTATATTGAACTGTTTACCTCAGTTACCAAGATAACCAATTGTATACCTTCTTAAAACAGAAACATAAATTGCTGGAGAACCTTCAGCAGGTTTGGCAGCATCTGCGAAGAGAAAACAGAGTTAACATTTCAGGTCCAGTGACTCTTCTTGCTCTCCCTAGATGCTGACAGACCTGCTGAGTTTTTCCAGCAATTTCTGTTTATGTTTCAGATTTCCAGCATTTGTGGTTCTTACATACTTTATCTAAATTAATTCTTTTTAAATAAACAAAATTATTCATTAAATATATAAAACAAGACTTATACAACAAAGACACAAATATGATTAGACACAGCTCGAAATATGAAAGTATAAATATTAAGCCAACTCAGCAACCTAACATACACACAGATACACACAGACACGCACGCACACACTCACTCAGCGATTAAAGAAAAAAAAAGTGATTTCTCTGCAAAAGTCAATTTGAAAATTTGAAAAGGAAATTGCTTTGCTTATATATTTGTTAATTCTTTGATAGAAGAGGATAAGATAACAAATGTTCCAGATGGTTTTTGATCACGCAGGCAGATCACAAGGCACATGTGGTTGCCACTGGGACCTTTTCAGAAGCAGTTCGATCTGGAAATGTCATAGGTAGGCTTCCCAAGACAATGACTGCACCAGTTTTTTTTTTCCCCAGTTCTCACACAGACTCTCAAAAAGGGGGGAAAAGGATCTCATAGCTGACTACACCCAAACTGACTTTTCCAAAATAAATTCACAAAACTCCTGACAGCCATAAGCCTTGCCATTTGACTTCTCTGTTAACAAGCCAAAGCAGTCCCTTATTCTATCAGGCTCTAACTGTTTATTTTGTCGCTTTAGTGCATTTTTTTTTGTAAAACTGTTAAAGTTCCTTTCCAGTAATTTTCTTTGGAAAAAAAACAAGTCTCAGCATGTCTAGTCTTTTTAACTGAACCAATTTTCACAATCTGTTAAGCATGATTCCTCAAAAATATTAATAATGAAAGCACTAATAATATAACAACATAGAAAACCTTGTAATGATGGAAGTGGAAACTATTTGTGAGGCTGGCTTTGCATGTACTTACGGTAAATTTTTAAAGTGAACTGCTAAGCTAAAAATGTTGAAAAATATCAATCTTTCACACATTTTTACATCTCTATTCACTATTAAAGTATTTTAGTTTAGAAGACCTAACACTATTGGGTCCACCTACTACTTCAAAAACTTACATATCAAAATGTTGAAAACCATTTGCTAGCCGTCAGTACTCATAACAGAATAGACTGCATGTTACTAGGGAAAAGATGCTAGATGATAACCACTGAACCAATCTTAGTTGCATAGCAATATGGTAAAATATACATTTAAAAATGAGACTACAGCAAATGTCATGCAAAATGCCTGACTTTGTATGGCCAACTGCTGTTACTAGCTGATACGGACTTTTTCATTACTCGCAGAAATGTAGCTTTTTGAATTACTGGTAGCTGTTATTGACTTATTGCCAGTATTATAATTTGAAGTCTTTTGCTAGTGTTAAGTAAGAAAAACAAAAGGGATTTTTTTCACTTTAATCTCAAATTTATACAACTTTAGTTTTTTTCTTAGACGCAAATAATAGAAATAATTGAAAATAGTTAACATTATACACATAAAGTTGGTGAGATGAGAATAAATTTTTCTATTTCAGCATATAAAATGCTTGCTCTTCTGTTTCAAACATTAGCAATGTATTCTTACTATACCAATGCACTTTTACAACCACAATGAATGAATTACTCATGAGTGTTTGCTAGTAACTGGGTTGAATTTAATGTTTCTTCTAAGCTGTAAGCATAGAGGGCTGTGAAAATTCTTGAATGTGCTACACATTGTAACAAACAGGCTGCTCGCAATAGTGAGCTCAAGGAGTGTAGCAGTGCTTAACATCAAACATCAGTGGTAACAGCATATTTGGCTGGAGAGAACAAGGCAAAATACAGCTGTGAATAGAGGTGCAGCAACAAAGTGAGAAAGGGAATCTCCAATTGGAGGAGCAGTGAAGACGGGCAGGACAGGGATGATGTGATTGCAGGAGCAATGAGCGTGGCAGTAAGGGAATCTGTGGTTGCAGGGCGTAGGCATATTAGAGAGGGGCAGAGAAGTGGTACAGGGAGACTGCTGAGGAACAGTTGAAGGGAAGAGTGTGTGCATGGCATGGCTGGGAGAGGTAAAATATGATATGGGAAATGTGACAGAAATAGTGAAAGGAGAATTGGATTGATGCATCTAACAGTACTACAATGTGACCTGTTACAGTAGAAGCAAATTGGGACCACTGGAGTTATAAGTGGTACTTCAGGTGAGACAGTAAACGTGGAAAGAGAACAATGCATCCTCTGACTTGCCTGTGTGCTTCTTCATATTGAGATAAAGAGGTTGCTGACAAGTTTGTGAAAGCTCAGTGGCTATCAGAATTTAAACTCCCCCGGGAAAAATCAGCACCTAGATCAAAACATATTTGGAAAGAGCTGTTGGGTACACAGATATCATTTTAAAAATCTATGTCATTATATTGCAATAGTATGTGAAAATAGTGGGGACTATTCATTTTGCTTGGAGGATTTTGACAGTGTAAGTTTGTAGGAGCTTATTTAACTATCTTTGAAGTCAAGCATGATCTCTGTCCTTTGCTTTTTGTGGACAGGGTATAATCCCAATAGGAACTCTGGCATAAGTCCCTGTTTATTGTAGCGTTAAGAACTTCATTACATCAGTCTGGCTTGAGATAGTCTTAATCTATTGTGTCACTCTGACCATTTAATTACAAATGAAACGCAAAACCAAAAATAACAGCAAATCTTCTCTGATTCACTGCACTACAGGGTTTATAAAGGCAATGTATAAACAATAGTGAAACATATGTATCATTTTAGCAAAGAAAAACTTAATTTGACAAATATATTTGTCACATAAAAATCTAAACATGTAAGCAGGAATCAATCGTCTATCTACCATAAAATACAAACAATATAACTGTATTGATTGATAGGTCTCTCATCATCTTACCGAGCTATCTAGCGATCCATTTCCATCAGTGTCATAAAGACGGAACATAACTAAAAGGAAAAATAAAAGAAGTTTATTAAAAATAAAATATGTTGATGGAGCTTTCAGTTTCCATCACAAGTATAGTCACTATATAAATATTTTCACTATTATTGCTGAACATTCTCTCATACTAAGTCAGAAGTCACACAACACCAGGTGGTAGTCCAAAGGGTTTATTTGAAATCACAAGCTTTCGGAGTGTCATCCCTTTGTCAGGTGAAGTGAGTGAGAAGCACACAGGATACAGAATTTACGGGCAGAGGGATCAAAAGATCATACAAATGAGGTGAGTGCAGTGTTACTCCAACCTGGTGTCGTGTAACTTCTGACTTTGTCCACCCCAGTCCAACACTGAAACTTCTACATCATTCTCTCGTAATATTATAACTCCGTAATTATCTGATCATTCTCACTTGCAAGTATTGCTATTGTATCACAATGTTGTATAGGTTACAGCTTATACTTCACAGATTTATGAATAACATATAAATATGTAATATTTAAAGAACTGTTAAACTGAAGCTTACTCCATATATTTTCATCTGCTTGGATAATTAGTAACTACTTTTAAATAGAAAGGTAAGATGAAATAGAATTTCCTGTTTATTAATATTCCTTAAATAATTGCATTACCTTTACAATAAATTACTTGCATTGTCTAAGAAATGTGCATTATATTTTGCTGAAGATGAAGCTAGAACAGAAGTTCAGCAATTTTGTTTAACAAGTAAGTAACTTGGAACGTTTCAAAACACAGTGCAAGGCTGGTCAGGATCGTGACAAAACTAATGCATTTGAATTTGTGCATCGAGTGCATTTGATTCGTAGGTACTTTCAGAAATACATCATATCAAGACAGAATCTCTGACTTGCCCACAGAATCTAATGAAGCAATACATAAAGGGCCAACTATTTTCCTAAACTAGCTATTAATCATTGTTGCATGATTTCTAATCAAGTCCAAAAAAAAACCTGACAGATGCATAAATTCAAATGCATTAGTTTTGTCACGATCCTGACCACCACTTTTTATAGCCTTGCACTGTGTTTTGAAATGTTCCAAGTTACTTACTTGTTGAACAAAATTGCCAAACTTCCAATCTAGCTTCTTCATCAGCAACATATAATGCACACTTGTTAGACGACGCAAGTAATTTATTGTAAAGGTAATGCAATTATTTAAAGAACACTGTCAGTTGGTTGCACAAATCTTAAAAGAAAACAGTGCAGCTTTCCGAGCTGCCAATAATGGCACCGTTTTTTATTGAAAACTGACACACAACATTTCTTTTATTGCCAAGCAACATAAACATCTATCGATTGTGGTTGTCAGGCTGACCCATTAGTTTCAGAACACAATGTGTGACAATAATGACAAGTAATTTTAAGAGCAGTTGAGCAAAGATTTCTCAATATTGAAACAACAGTGCAGGAACCTGAACTACATGCGCATACACAAACATTCAGAGAGTGCTTGGAAAGGTCAGAAAGTATCAAATCATGTGGATGTTTAGAGCCCTGGAGCATCATTGCAGCAATGTCAGTGAGCTGCTCCCCACTGGGCATAAAGAGCATGGTGTGAGCGCGATGAAAGGAAAAGAGAAACATATGAACAGCCCCAATCCGAAGCCTGAAGTCCAGCCATAACACTGGGTGTTAAAGAGATGTGTAGAGCAGCGTGTGGGGTAGATGAACAAGCATTAAACAATACGGCTCATGGAATAGTATTTCAATAATACATCAGTGAGCTTACAGACTCACATCTCTGAATACCATGTATTGTAGTATTTAATCTTAATATATAATAGACAGAATTGTAAAGAAGCCCAAGCCTGAAAACTGATCTTGAACTTGCTTTCTTCTTGTCCAATGGGCCTTGAACCCCAACTCACAGATGTGGGTATAAAACCACACAACAAGAGTTTTCATGCACAAATACACATATAAATAACACAGGGACATTGAAACATAGAGCCAGGACAAGGCCATTCAGCCTGTCGAGCCTGCTGCACCTTGCAATTAGATCATGTCTGATCTACTTCAAACCTACTTTCGCACATCATCACAATCTCCCTTAATGTCTCTAGATATCTCTCAATTTCTGTCACATACATGTTTAATGATTGAACTTCCATAGCTCTTTGAGTTAAAGGATTCCACCTTATCTCAGTCTTAAATAGTCTCCTCGTTATCCTGCAATTATGTCCACTGGCTTTAGATTCACCAACCAGTGAAATATTTTGCCTACATCAACCTGGTCACAATCTGTCAGGATTTTATACATTTCAAATAGGTCATCCCTCATTCTTTGAAACCATTGTGAACACAGACACAGTCTCCTCAGTCTCTCTTCATAAAACGATTGTGACATCCCAGAGATTAATTCTCATCAACTTTCACTCTGCCGCTCCCTCCCCATGGCAAGTATACCCCTCCTTCAGTAAAGGGACCAAAAGCTGCGCATAATGCAGTATGGTAGGATATGGTGATGTGGCAAAGGGAGTGGGGAGACTGGAGTATTACACTGTCAGAGGTGCTGCTCTTCCGAGGTCTCATTGTCTGCTCAGGTGGGTGTGAAAGATCCAATGGCAAGGTTTCAAAGTTAAGTATTTGTCGGGGGGAGGGGACAGGTTGAAGATTTATACCCTGTGTACACCCCATTGGTATCCCACAACACAATAAATAGGTTCTTTATTCATTAGTGTGCTGTTGTTGGTGGGAAATTTTTGTGCACAAATTTACTGATTAGGAAGGGCGGATGTCTGTCCGAGGAAAGCATCATGGGAGCTGCCTGGGAATCTCGTACCCACCTCCCAACACAGCATTGTTGCAGGTCAGCCAAGCACTGATGAAATGGAAGCCCTTGGAGCTGATAAACACGCCAGAGTAATTGAAATATATTTTAACTGTTGTATGCGCACATGCGATGATGTTGGATGCCTGGGGAAAGTCAGTGGTGGCTGCAAACCTAACTCAGATTGGCATTACCATAACTGAAGTTGACAGCCCTGGTAAATATGCCATCCATCTTTATCAAAGGCATACTGCAAAATCCTGTGAATGTCTTCGGCAGACATCTGGAAGGATTGAACGCCAAAGAGCTTGAGGATGGTCATCACTTTGACAGCCAAGGGGGACGTGGTGCCGCAAGATTCACTTGGCAACAGCTCCAGTTTCAACAGGCTGCAAATGTCTGACATCACCTAACACGAGCACCTGAGGCTACCTAATCCCTGCTGGTCTGATAGCTCAAAGTTAACCCACTTCCTGTCGTCCTATGTGATGATTATGGCCTCCTGCATGTTGCGGCTCTCTGTTGATGCCCTCGGTCCTGTGGAGATACAGGAGTGGGCAGCCTGTTGGCAATGCAGCTGCTGGTCTTTTTGGTCTTCAGCTGAGTTCTGAAGTGACCGAGTATAACAGACGCCCACTGCTGACCTGATAGATCAGAGTTCCCAAAGTGCAGGTCAGGCCGCCAAACATGCAAAGTATAGACGCCACTCCCAACATTTTCAAAACAACTTCTCAGCATAAATATTAAAATCAAAGCCTTTCTCATAAGAATGCAAGAAAACAGCTTTGAGGGTTGACTCTTTATTGGCATTGCTTCCTCTTCACAACTCCACTTCCTCAATAGCTCCTTCTTGGTTTTGCACTCTGCAATCACTAGTGAATTTCAAGAAGCTGAGAGCCCATGGAACCAAAGGTAAACTTCAAAACCCTCAAGAATAGAGGTGCAGCTGACCTATTAATACAATAAAATTGACAGCTGACCTTCTTTGGGGTCTTGTCTCACCGGCAGCCTAACATGGTGTAGGTAAATATGGGTGGGAGTCACAAGTCTCAGCTGACTTCCCACTGTGCTAGAACTTTACCAAGATTCACCTACATTCATGTTCACCAAATTATTGTTCCCTACAGTACAACCATTGACAATTTCAGATTGTAGTAGATGGTGAGGGAGCAGTAGCTATAAGTATCCAACAGGGGGTGCTCTCTCCCTGCTTTTTCTTTTTGGGAGCACAGCAAGAATGAAAAAAGCCTGTTTCCTTGCTCTGCAGCTGCAGAAATCTGAGCTCTGGATTTTGGAACTCAAGTATCAGACAAAGTCAATTTGGTATCCACACAAAGCTAAGAACTACATAAATAGTAGATTTAGCAAAGTGAGCCCACAGCCCATTAAGTGCATGCAGGCAGAGAGGGAATGGAGATCACTAGACAGTTTAAGGAAAACTTAGCAGGTAGTGCAGGAGCTCTCTGAGTTTATCTCACTCATGAACTAGTTTTTCATTTTGGATACTAGTGAGGATGATGGTTCATTTCAGCAATATGGCAAAAGCCAAGCAGCTCAGCTGCACAGGAGAGGCAAAAGAGGAGTGAAAGGGCAATAGTGCTAGATGGAGATAGCAAGAACTGCCGATGCTGGAGTCAGAGATAACACAGTGTGGAGCTGGAGGAACACAGCAGGCCAGGCAGCATCAGAGGAGCAGGAAAGTTGATGTTTCGGGTCGGGACCCTTCTTCAGAAATGGGGGAGGGGGAAGGGAGCTGGGAAATAAATAGAGGGAGGAAGGGTGGGGCTAGGGGAAGGTAGGTGGGATGGTGATAGGTGGACGCAGGTAAGGGTAGTGGGGATTGGTCAGTGGGAAGGATAGGCCGGATTAGGTGGGGAGAGAAGATGGATGGGTTGTGTCAGGTCAAGGAGGCAGGGATGAGAGGCATGTTTGGACGTGGGATGAGGCTGGGGGTGGGGAGATTTTAAAACTGATGAATTCTATGTTCAGGCGACTGAGCTGTAGGGTCCTGAGGTGGAATATGAGGTGCGGCTCCTCCAGTTTCCAGGTGGCGTCATTGTGACACTGGAGGAGGCCCAGGATGGACATGTCACCCAGGGAGTGGGAGGGGGAGTTAAAATGGTTGGCGACTGGAAGGTGTTGTTGTTTGTCACGTACAGACGATAACTTTCTTAAAAACTGGCAATTAATATTCACACCACACAAATGTCAGGC